TCGAGACCATCCTGGCCAACATGGTTTGAAATCCCATCTCTACTAAAAACACAAAAATTAGACGGGCATGGTGGCTCGTATCTGTAGTCTTAGCTACTTGGAAGACTGAGGCAGGAGAATTGCTTGAACCCAGGCAGCAGAGGTTGCAGTGAGCCAAGATGACGCCACTGCACTCCAGCCTGGCGACAGAGCAAAACTCCATCTCAAAAAAAAAAAAATTAGAAATATATGATGGCAATGAAGCTTTCTTAATCCAAGCAGCACAAACCCAACCCACTGGTCTAATTAAGAAATGAGAGCTTTTGTAAAATTTAATTTCTATGTTTAATAATTATTTAGTAATTTTATTAAAATTTGTTGTTTATTATCAGTTGTATACTAGAAATTATAAAATCTAGAGAAACTTGAAATCTGTTAGCATAATTTCTCTCTCTCCATTTACATGTGTGTATATCTGTATATATGCATATACATGTGTATATGTATATGTGTGCATATATGTGTGCGTATATACATATACATACATATTTTTAAGGCATGATAACATTGAGATTCCATGGGGGAAGAAAATTTAAAATACAATTTCAAAGAGAAAAAAAATTGTAAAATTTCTGGTCAAATAAGTATTTTTTGTTCATGTATTTTTTTAAATGGTAACAGAATCAAATTACTATATATTTCACCAGATATAATTAAAAGAGTGGTGTAACTTTTATATTCAAATGTCATACAAATATGCTAGAAATTAAATCCTTTGCAGCTATTTAAATGTAAAATAGGTATCAGATATACTTAATTTTAGGTCTCTACTAAAGCAGTGAGGATATACCATTTAAACCATTTTTAGGATTAATACTCTAATAAATATGTTCAAAAACAATGCTATATTGGAACATATGCTAATGGATCCATATAAAGTGTAAATAGAATGGAATTTCCCTCATGACTACTCAGTCTATATCAATGAATTTAATCGATCTCAACAAATTCTCTAGCAACAATCTATAAACAATATGCTCATACTCTGGACTTTGTCAGACATTATGTAATGCATCATTAAATAATGCCTTTTACTTTTCTGTTCACTTTAAGCATATCTGTATTAGTCACCATTCACATACCCTTTTTTATTATCTCATTTCTCTTTTTCCCATTATGAAAAGGCTTTCTAATAATATTTTGATTCTCAGTGTTTCCAAGGAGTAATCCTCATACACTACAGAGCTGGCTGGAGGACAGATCTCTGAAATTCCTATTTATGAGGCACAAGCCTTTTAACAGCTTCAAAGTTTCCTGGATTGATTTCTACAAAAAAATACTTTATTAAATATTTTTCATGATTCAAAATAGACATGGAGAAAAAAGGATCCTCTACTGTAGTCACATACCTGCTTATAATTATATGTATATATTTAAAATATATATATTATTTAATATATATAAATATATATATTATTTAATATATAAATATATATTAAATATACATTATATATACATTGTTTATATAAATTTATATAAATAATGTATATGATTTATATATACACTATTTAAATATATAAATATTTAAAATATATTTTAATATGAAATATATATATTCTTATATAAAATCCAATTTCCCCTCAGTGGGAAATTGTAAAAATATTCAAGTATATTTAGATTACTCAAACAGCTAAACAATTCTCATTTAAATACTATTTGATGGCAAATCGCAGATTATGTTATACAATTTGTTATAGTAACATTAAATCACTGAATTACTTATGAAGCTTTAAAACACAATTATAAAGTCTTTTGATGCTTTTCTTGATTGATAAATTTTACAGAAATATTGAAAGTTGCAACAAACTTTTGTTCACTTAATCTAGATTGTGTTTCTCATCTAAAATCACTTTTTTTTAAGCTTTATTCAGGTATAATTGATATTAAAAACTTTCATCAGTTTGGACATATGCATGCATCTGTAATACCATTACCACAACCAAGATGCTAAATATATCCATCACCTCCAAAAATTTCCTTGTGTTCTTTTCTGAGGTTTGTTTGTTTTGTTTTTTGCTTATGTTCTGTTTCTGTCTTCATTTGGTTTTGGGAAGAACACAAATGCGATCTATACCCTCAACATATTTTTAACTATATAATACCATATTGTTAACTGTAGGTACTATGTTGTACAGCAGATCTCTAGAACTTATTCATTTTGCATGACAGAAACTTTATACTCATTGGAAAATAATTTCCCATTTTCTTCTCCTCCCAATCCCTGATAACCACCATTCTTTTCTGCTTCCATAAGTTTGACTATTTTAGTTATCTCATGTAAGTGGAATCATGCAGTATTTGTCTTTCAGTAACTGCAACTGTGTGTGTGTATATCTATATATACACACACACACACACAACTGTATATTCAGTAACTGTATAGATATACACAGTACACACACACACACAACTGTATATTCAGTAACTATATATATATATACACACACAACAGTATACACATACACACACACACACACACACACACACACACACACAGAGCCCACATTTTCTTTATCCATTCATTTAGGCTGTTTGCATATCTTGGCTAGTGCAAATAATGCTGCAATGAACATGGGAGTGCAGATATTTCTTTGACACCCTAATTTTAATTTTTTTGGCTATATACCCAGGAATGGGTTATCTAGATCATATGGTAGTTCTATTTTTAACTTTTTAAGGAACTGTTTTCCATACTGTTTCCATATTATTTTCAACAGTGGCTGTACCATTCTGCATTCCCACCAACAATGTATAAGGGTTCTAGTTTCTCCACATCCTCACCAACACCTGTTATCCTTTGTTGTTTTGACCATAGCCAACCTAATATGAGGCTAAATTCACTTTTGAGTTAAATGTTAAATGGACTAAATGATTGTGTTAGTCCATTCTTCTATGGCTATAAAGAAATACCTGTGACTGGGTAATTTATAAAGAAAAGATGTTTAATTGGCTCATAGTTCTACAGCCTTTATGGGAAACAGGGTACTAGCATCTGCTTGGCTTCTGCTGAATCCCAGGGAGTTTTCAATCATGGCAGAAGGTGAAGGGGGAACAGGCAGGCCACACAGTAAAAGTAGCAGCAACAAGCGGGGTGGGAGGGTGCCACACACTTTTAAACAACCAGATCCCATGTGAACTCAGAGCATGAGTTCATTTATCAGCAAGGGGATGGCCTAAGCCATTCATAAGGGATCGGCCCCCATGATCCAAACACCTCCCACCAGATCCCACCTCCAACATTACAGATTACATCTCAACGTGAGATTTGGGTGGGGACAAATATCCTAACTGTATCAATGATGATAAATAAAAAGCAATGAAAAATTTAGAAAGAAATTCAAGTAATAACACACAACTATATGTGTGTTGATGATGCCTGATGAACATGCTTAGGAAATTTTTCTCTCCTTAAACTTGGCTGAGACACACAATTTGAGGATCAACTTTGGTGCCAATCCTTCCCTTCATACCTCCATATGTAATACTAGGTTTCTTGGATCACCTCCACCAAAACAGTAAAATTAAAATATGGCCAAGAAACCAGTCTCAAAGAGCAATATCTTTTAATGGCTGATTTGGAGTGAGGAAATGTACTGAGAATGTAATGCAAGAATAAGATTTTTTTTTTTTTCAAATGGAAAAAGGAATGATAGAAACACAGTGAGCAAAAGAAATTTAAAATTAATCACTGACTAAATTCACTTTCACATCTAATGTAGACTCTCCCTACTTTCCTCTACTGCCCATATTTTGAAAACTGAAAATTTCTATCATAGATAAAGGATTCATTGGCTGCAGGATAACTGGAATTGCAAATGGGTCCAAAACAGCTGTAAATTGAAGTAGTATTGAGTAACCAGAAACAACTTTGATTTTGAAGTTTACCCCCTAAATCTGAACCTTTATTAAAACAGAAATGCTTTTTAAAATAAACATGTAATGTATTCTTTATAGAAAATAACCATATGAACTGTTCAATATTTAATATGTATATAGATATATAATTAAGGATATATTTTTAAATCCAAATTACTATTAGTAATCTACTCTGAGCTAGGCAATTTATGTATATTATCTTAAATTTATAGCCCTCTAAATTATAACATATTCCATATTTTTTTACTTCAAAAACATTATTTAGGGTGCTTTCACAGTCATTCATGACATATGCAGAGCCAGTAAAACAGATGATCTGCCTTCTTTTTTCTGCTCTCATACCGTAAACAAGTGTCCTTTTCACATTCTGTTTAGTGCCATGTTCTTATTGCAACTTGTGCCTGAGTGAAGCTTATCTAATGCATGCATTTTCTCTTTAAATCACATCACAGCCTTTTTGGACTTAGGAACCCTACACGGCACTTCAGTACTACAAATGGGGGCCATTTTAAACAGTGAAGTCATCAACAAAGAAAGCACAGAAATGCCAAAAAAAAAAAAATGGCACCATATAGACTGTAAAAAAGGACAACTGTTTACAAGTATGAAAGCTGAAACAAGAGGGGAGAGCAGTGACCTCAGCTCTAGGAGCAATGGCTCAGCATTTGCTAATTCAGTGTCCACAGCAACTTTTTAACTATCATGAAAAATGAGAACCAACAATAATTTCAGTAACTGTAGAGTCTCTTAAAAGGCTGCAGTGTTGAAACATCAATCACAGAGAAAAGGTTAACTGATAGAAGTGATACAAGCAGTATTATGACTAGTCAGAGTTATTAGACTATTTTGTTATTAGACAAAAAGCTACATTTCTTATGTGACATAATATTTCTTGTGAGAAGATAGAAAAATGTGAGTAGGCTCTACTTATTACTTCTTATATAATTCTGGATCAAATCAATACGTGGCCAGTATTTTCAAATGAATGAGAGAAGCTCATGTTAAGAAGTAACTCATTAGAATAAGCATTTAAAAAATCAGATATGCTCATCAGTAACCATCTCAAATAATTAGATTTTTCTTACTTATAACCAAGCTGACGACAGATCACAGCTGCATCCTTATCAGTCCATCCATCATCACAGATTGTTCCCCACTGGCCATTGATAAAAACCTCTACTCGTCCTTCTTTCTTATTTTCTCCATCCATCAGTCTGACAGGAAAACCTAAGTCATGATTCAAACGTATTAGAAAAGCCCAAAAAAGCAAACTGACGCTAAAGCATGAGCAACTCTGCAAAACACAATTGTTCTTTTAAATCAGCTATAAAATCAGATGGGGAATACTTTTTTGAGGGAGAGGAGATACATCAATAAAAATTTTACCCACTTTCATAATGTCTCTTGCAGCCTTGAATTCAAAGTGCTCACCTTCCTCAACTCTGTATCCCCAGAATGTGGAACAGTTCCTGGCATATAGAGGATATGCAATTGCTGTTTGCTGAATGAATAAATAGCATTATAAAACTGCGAATTATTTTATTACACCTTACTTCTAAATAGTAAAAGAACATTAACTTGAGGTTGGTTTTGCTTCATGTCCGTTCACTTATCCATGAACACAGCTAGAAGTTTATACTCCAAAGCCAAGATTTTTAGAAAGATATAAACAGACACAACCTTGGCATTCATAGTTGGGTAACTTGATACAAGTCTAATGCTGGAGGAGGCAAAAAAGAAAAAAAGAGGAGTAAATAGGGACAATTTCCATCTAAAGCTTTCTATTTACTGTTGATTCAAGGGAAGGAATTAAGTCACCAAAATTACTGACTTAAAAGTTGAGAAACTGAGCTCTAGCAAATTGAGGTTTATCTAAGTTAATACAAATGACGCGCTTCGTAAAGTGTCACATATAACCACACCAATAAGTACGATGTTGAATTGAAACTCCTCACTGTGACTTGCATGAGTTGAATTGTGACGTCATTAGCATGGGTCCTAATCAAATATGCTGGCATTCCTATAAAATGGAGAAATTTGGACATGAAGAAGGAAGATGATATGAAGAGACACGGGGAGAGGACTGCCGTAAACAAGCTAAGGAGAGAGGCCTGGAGCATATCTCTCTCACAGCACTTCCCTCACAGTTCTTTCTGAAGGATCCAACCCTGCTGACATTCCATTTTGGACTCCTAGGCCCTGGAACTGTGAAACAATAAATACCTGTGTTTAAGCCATCTCTGTGGAACTTTGTTACAGCAACCCAAGCAAGGTAACACTCACATGTTTGATTACCTAGTTTCTGGAAGGGTCTCCAGCTTCAGGACCAAGATTTATTGGTAGGGATTTAGGGAATACAGTAAAGCATGGTAAAATTATCAGGAAATTTAAGGAGGTAGAATTTTGCAGGTAATGGACAATGTATTATTTAATATATGTTTAAATCAACATGTGAAATTACTAAATCAACATTTGTTAACTAAAAGACAGGACTGTTAGCAAGATGGACACATTCTATTTCTATTCCTCTGACCCATTTTGTACTTCTCCTTCCTTCTGTGCTGTCCCAAGAGTTGCTGGCTCCCCATTCTCTATCCCTGATCATGTTCACTTCATGGGACAGGCAGTACATCAGGATCACAGAGCAAAATCAAACTCAACAAATGTTTATGGAGCGCCAACTCTATGTATGTACTGCTTCCTATTAGCTGAATAAAAACTTGGAGTTTTAGCTATAACACAATATTGAAACTTCACGTTTCTTATTAATATATCTGAAATTTGGGGGTTCTTTGCAAGAAGAGAAAGTGAAAAAGTAATCCTCAGATACCAAAATCAAACCAATGAAGTTCTTTTCTTAAGGTTTTCATTTTTTCTATCTTTGGATATTTGGTTCAAAATTAAGAAAACATTTGCACATGAAATTAGAGCTACATGTTCCATTCCAGTAGTTTTACAGGCAGTTTTTAATGTACTCTAAAGTCTAACTTACATGCTTTGTAAAAAATAATGCATATAATATTTCTGAACTTAATTTTAGCCATTCATTCTACAAAATTATTGAATTCTTAATTCTTGAAGGGAAATTGGATGACAAAAGTCATTCTATCCATACACTGTCACTATTAAGTTCGTGCTGCTACAGAAACAATAATACATACCATGTTTTATTTCTAAAATCTTAAATAAATATTAAGTTTTTGAGAAAACCAAACAATCCTATAGGTATACAGTTATCTTTAATTATATGTCTCAAGCTGACTTTCAGTAGTTCTCTTTAACTTTTCCTGTAACATATTATTTTTAGAAAATAATACTGTCTTTTAGAAAAAACATAAATTCTAGCATGCATATGTACACATTAAAAGCCTAATTTTAGGCCAGACATGGTGGCTCATGCCTGTCATCTCAGCCCTTTGGGAGGCCAAGCGGGCAGATCACCTGAGGTCAGGAGTTTGAGACCAGCCTGGCCAACATGGCGAAACCCTGTCTCTACGAAAAATACAAAAGTTAGCCGGGCGTGGTGGTAGGCACCTGTGGTCCCAGCTACTCAGGAGGCTGAGGCAGGGAGAATCACTCGAACCCAGGAGGTGGAAGTTGCAGTGAGCCAAGATTGTGCCATTGTACTCCAGCCTGGGCAACAGAGAGAGACTCTGCCTCAAAAATAAATAAATATATATATAGTAGTTTTTAATAGGTGGGACGCCAAATGATCTATGAATGAACAAACAGAAATATGATTCTATCCCAAAAGGTCATTTGGCTCAGACATAATGTTCTTCAGACAAATGACTTTAATGAATAGACACATTGCTGAGATTAGAATCAAAGAGATTCATAATAATGACCATATGTTTTATTAATGATTATCATCCTCGGGTTTTTAAATTAAAAAGAAAAAATACATCTAGAGTCCTAGAATTTAAAATATTTTCAAGAGAACTGAAAAGATTAGTTATTCCAACCATATGATGTATTTAACAACACAGGCCTACAGAGAACTCAGATCGCAGAGTATTTCATCACTGGGAGCTGGCAGAGCATATTTGCATAGATCACCCCATAATTCCAATCCCTGCTATCTGGGGCTGAGATGATCCACTTCCCGCAAACAAGTTCTATCTCCCCAGCCACGTGCAATTCATCCATCACATAATCTTTGGAGAATCACAAATATTTCATAAGAATAAGGAGCAAGGGGAAAGGAGAACAAAATAAAAAGAAAGAAAAATGGAAATTTGTCCTGCAAGGGATGGAATAAAAACATATACTTCTACTTGGTATAATACTAGATTAATGCAGTGTCACCAAGATCTCACGGTGTAGAGTACAATGGAAGAATCAGCCACAGACTTTGACAAATCTACAGTATACAATATGGTTAATACTGAGATTCAAAAGTTTTATCATTTTATAACATGAAGATTTCAGCTTCACAGTCTCAAAACAGGAGAATACAAAAGAGTTGATTCAATCCAAGGTTACAAGTAAAGATTACCTATGGCTATTTTAACATCTATTCATGTACATTTACACAGAGAGAGAGATAGATATATGAAAAGCTGTGATAGCATACTACAAACTATTTTGAATATTTCCCTCTGTATATTTCATTCATATATATTCTGCCCTCCTCACCAGACATTAAGAAACTTGTCAAGAATGTTTAATTGTTCTCTACTCTCAAGAAGATCTTTATCCATAATTATTTCAAGACTGTTAGAGGAGCTACTTACCTTTTATCCAACAACAAGTCTAAAAAAATGTAAATGAAGAGTAACAGAGGTCCTGGTGGGTTCTAAAATAATAAGTTATGTTAGATATGTGAGCTATTAAGGAATCTACTCAGAAGACTACGGAGAAACTTAAAAGAGCAATGGATGGCTGGTGACCAATAAATGACAAGGCTTCAGGACTAGAGAAGAAACGAACCATGAGACAGGGACAGGAGAATAGTCTTTTTTTTTTAATCCTGTCCCAAGTAGCTCACTAGAATTCAAGGTAAATAAATATCAGAATAAGTGACCAAGGAGTAAGGGGAATAGATACTGCAGTTTCTTTATTCCATTGTTCAGATACAGGTGATTCTAAACATTTTTAGTGAGAAACTTGATTTTCTAAGTGAAGAAAAACAATTTAGGGGTAGAAATTTTATAATGTTGGTGCAGAGACTCCAAAGATTATTTTTCTGTGCATAAAAATTACTGAAAATTAGACAGTTACGGGAAATGGACCAAAAAAAAAAAAAAAGCCAAAGATGAGAAACATTTCACATTCTAGGCCAGTGGTTAGAGGTGCAATGGCTATTGAATTATGAAAACTTGAGAGCTGCAGCCAGTCCTCACCCAGAGAAAGCCTGTGTCCCTCGCTGCCAGGGTAGCAGGCAATGCCAACATCCTCCTGGTGGCTACAGTCATGCCTTCCCCACTGTCGCCTGGAACACTGAAGAAATCTGGTTTCCTTTCCTGAGCAGCTCACATCATCCAACCATATGGGCCCTGTGCTTTCTTCAAAATGGTTGGCAGACGCTTGTTTACCATATCTGTGACAATTAAATAAACACTATGTGTAGAACTGCTGTCTCTTGTTTCAGGGAACCGCAAAACATTTAATACAAGCAATCTAATTCAGTGTCATGAGTTCAGAGGATAAGTATCTCTTATTTCTCCTACCTTGGGGGCTCAGTTTTAAGAGCTATGTTCGCTCCATCACGTTTTAATCACCTTAAAAATGTTTGATTATTTCAATGAATAACAAATGGAAAAATTAATCCTTTTTCCCCATTCATTCTTGCATTTTGCCTACAATTTATCTCACCAGAGAGAATGCAGAGATCAATCTCAGATCTCTGACCATAGAAATTGTGCAGAAAGTGAGAACACCTGTCTCATTTTGCTTCTGATGCACCCTCTGAACTCATTTGATTTCAGCAGCTTCTCTAGGCCTCTTTGGTTTTCTCTCATTCAAAATGAAAAGGGTGGATTAGTTCAGTGATTGCTCAAGCACTATACCTAATCCATGATTACATTTAGATTTCAGCCCTGCAAAATCAGAATTACAATGTTCTTAGCTTTTCATAAGGTATGAAAATTCAACTTTCAAAATTTTTATTAATTATATTTGCATTCCAATTGAGTTTATTTGTAACACTGCACTACAGGGAAAAAAAATCCTAAATATATAATAAATATACATTTATTTATATAATAGAATAGGAAAGATCTGAAAAAACTTTTTAAATTAGAAAGTAAGTCAAGCTGCACCTTCTTTCATTCTCCTGATTTTATTTCCTTTTGTTCCATAAAATCCAAACCTCCAGAAATCACTAAACTTAAAAATCTTTAAGATGTCTTTCAGTTCTAACAGTCTATAAAATCCAACTCTTATTCAGAATAATTCCCTTACTTGATGTTTTTATTATTTCTGTACTAAGAATATGAAGAGATCTTCTATCTGGCATGAATTTTCTTCATTTTTTTCTATCTAAGTATTTATTAAATTTATTTGATAAGATGAACATTTTAATAAATTAAAACAATGAAATAATTATTCTGTGTTTTTTCCCTTTTATTTTGCTGACTAATCAAGCCTCAGCTAGAAAAGTAATAAGCCTAAATTGCATATTGCTCATTTTTAACTTATAAACCGTTTTTTCAAAAAATGCATCAGATTATCATCTGTCCATAGCAACTACATAACAAATAACAGGAAGTCATTCTACTTTGGAACTGCAATTGTACAAAGAAACCCAAAGTTTACCTTTTCTCATTACAAAAGAACATTCTTTTTCAAAAATTCCTTTGTAAACTCAAATGTAACACATGCTTTTACCACCTTCTAACACATTCATTTAGAGCTTTTTACACACATTATTGAGAACATTTTTAAAACAAATAAATGTGATTACACTGTGCATAGATTTGTAGACAAATAAAATATTTTTAAAAATCAGTGTCAATCGTCTTCATTAATAAGGAAAAAATGTGAAAAATAAAAATAACAGGATTTACGAATCTCTCTAAATATGAAAATAGAAATAATATGATTTTATGAATCTCTCTAAATCTGTGAAAACAGTACAGTTGGTAGTCTAACAGAGATTCACTTGAATATAAAGTGATATTTATTAAGCAATTCTTGTTAATTGTCAGTATATTGTATTTATTTGGCTGTTATACCATACCCTTTTTCCCAATAATTACAATAACTTCTCCGCCCAAGAAAAGTCAAAATAGGTGAAAATCATATGAATATTGTAGCTTCATGATAGCATTACTTATCATAGGAAAAAGTAAGCTAACCTAATATTAAGTAAATTACAGTATGAAAATTTGATTAATATTATCATTAAAAATTATGACTATGTAGCAATATAAGGTTAAAAACATGAATAAAAAAATTACATGTCCATTACTACAGCTGATATGAAGTGATGTACACAAATTATGATAATAGCATAAGGATGAAAAATTATGGAGTTTTTTTATTTTAATCATTTTCCAATGGTTTAGCATGATTTTGTAAATTTAAAAATAATATGTTTAACATGGCTTTGCCTAGCTTGAATGACGGTACTTTTTAAAGTGTAGTGAATATCTGCAATCAGCTCTAATCAAACTGAAATGAAATAATTCTGCCAGTTTTTTTTAAGCATGAGACAATCACTTCGAGCCTGACATAGAAATATGGAAAACAAGAGAGAATGGGCATTCATAGCTTTCATTCAAATATTAACTCAAAGGCATCATTTGTAGTCACTTCGACCAACTTAAGCCTTTACTCTGGAATGCATTATGTGTGTGGCATAAAATATATGTCCCAAAGTGTGATACTCAGCTTTTAAGAGAGTGAGGTCAAAGGCGAGTTCTAAAGGTCATCTCATAACAAGAGGGCTGTTTTTCTCAAAGAAAAGTGATGTTATTATCATCACATTCTGAGAAAGGGAATAACGTAATACCAAAGTACTTGACACTGGACTTCTCTGCAATTTTAGACAATGATGTCAAAACTAAAAACATCCAATAGTAATGACGTGTCAGAATAAAAATGAGCAGTCAAAGTCTTACTTGAATAGACACAAGAGTACTTATAAGTCACCCCTGGCTTCAATCAATTATTCAAGAAGAGGTGTCATGGCAAGAAAGGTAAATGAAATAAACAACAAGGGGTGGTTATTCATCATCTTAGAAAATGTCATTACTTTTCATTGTTGTACTTACAAATACAGGTAGGAGAGAACATGTATTTTTATTACTATAAAAATTACATGTATTTTTATTACTATAAAAAATTAGGGATTAACATAATAAGCCTTTTAACGATATAATCTGGCATTTAACTGCCTTTATATTAATGGACCTTACTTAAATCCCAACTGTCGACAAACCACGTATGTATTCAGCTCAGTCCAGCCATCATCACAGACAGTCCCCCACTGGCCGCTGTAATACACCTCCAAGAGACCCTCATGGTTGCCTTTCCCACCTGCAAGTCTGATGACCCCATCTGTGACAAGGAGGAGACACAGAGACTAAGCAAGTCAACTTTCAAAAAAAGGCAAAACAACATTTTCATTTCACAAGAAATATCACCATATTTAGGCCTCCTCTAAGCCTTTTGTTAAATTTATATTACATCTGTGCGAAATGACCCAAGGTTACTGCACTGTTACTGAAGTTTGACATAACACATTTCCATCCTAATGAAATATTCTTTCCAGCCAGGCACAGTGGCTCATGCCTGTAATCCCAGCATTTTGGGAGGCTGAGATGGCTGGATCACCTGAAGTCAGGAGTTCGAGACCAGCCTGGCCAACATGGTGAAACCCCATCTCTACTAAAAATACAAAAATTAGCTGGGCATGGTGTCGCACGCCTGTAGTCCCAGCTACTTGGGAGGCTGAGGTGGGAGAATCTCTTGAGCCCAAGAAGCAGAGGTTACAGTGAACAGAGATCACACCACTGCACTCCAGCCTGGACATCAGAGCAAGACTCGTCTCAGAAAAATAAAATAAAATAAAAGATACACACACACACACACACACACACACACACACACACACACACACGTGTATATATGTGTGTGTATATATATATATATATATATACACACACACACACACACACACACACACACACATACATATATATATTCTTTGCTTTTTACTTGTATTCCTATTCTCTAAGTAGGAAAATATATCCTGATATAATTTCTAAATACCTATTTAGATTTCTCTAGATTAAATAATATTTCAGTTATTTCCTATAACTTGAGTCTTAAGTCAGAGCAATACATGGCATTTAAATTTGAAAAGTAAGAAAATATAGGAACTTGGAAATAGCTCAGAATTTTAACTGCAAATGAAAAAAAAAATATTGAAATAAGAAGACAGAAAAAACTATTCCGGATAAAGGACATGTCAAGGCATCTGTATTTGTTTGGCATTCATGAATTATAAAAACTAGAAGATATGTCTCGCCTTTGTTTTTATTGATAATACAGATCTGAATTTGAATCTCATTAACTCAAATGATAATTAATTTGCCTACAATTCTATAAAGAGCTTCTAACCAAATAAATAGTATAATAAATGTAATTCCAAAAAAAGTAGATTTAAAAGCCATTTCCATCCAAAATAATCCATAGATTCTCAATGAAACATATAAATAATCTTGGGTAAGGGTCACACTTTTCATGAATCTCAGGGATCTATTAAAGTAAAGGTCTCTGAGCAACAAACCATTTATTAATATACTACTTTACTGCCTGCAAAGCATCATGACATGTATTATCTCATCTGCGCATAACAGCAATGTTACAAGACTATCCTCCTTGAAGGAGAGGAAAATTGCAGTTCAAGAAAATGAAGTGCTCTGGCTTAAAATCTGGTATAAATGTATTTCTATTGTGTATTAATGTGTTAATCTGCTAATAAAAACAACTGCATGTATAGAAGTATGTCAACAGAAAGATATAAATTTGGTATTTCATAGACTCTAAGAAGTTACTGATTTTCATTAAAGAAATATGTAAACAATACATTTTTTTAAAGTTCTTTTTACCAAATGGTTTCTGATGACTCAACCTCTCTTGCCTTGTCCATTTCCTTCTTCTCCCTAAACATGTAAGTACATACACATACACCAGTTTGCACTCATATATGCCCTTCTTGTAACAAACTATTCATTTTGACAAGCATGCTATCTTTGGAATAGTCTGAAAATTGTGCCCAGCAAAGTTAACGTGGTTTCTTTCACAGTGTGCTTTAATCAACAATTGCATCAATACCAGCTCTAAACGCATTCTGAGTCAAGAAACATTAACAGATAAATGAACTAAAAATGTAATTATTTCATCTAATATCTGAAATGTATCATTGCACACTGATTTTGACTATTGGGTACTATATATTGCAACAAAGTCCTATTTTCTGATCCAGCTTTACAAGACTATATAGCCTTAAACTGAAAAATTCAGGAGTAACTATGAATAAAAAGAAGGTATCTTAATGTACAGTTTGCGTTCTTTTTGTTTTATTTGGTGTATTTATTTGTAAGCTCATTTGGTAATGCTGTTGAAATTAAGGAGAAGGAAAGCTGAGGTAAGCCCACATGGTACTGGGGGCAAGAACTGGTATATTAATGGAGTGAGGTCCTTACCTGTTAGAGGGGTACAGGACACTCCAGCATCTTCTTTATGGCCACAGTTATGCTCTCCCCAGGAACTCTTCGGACATTGCTCAATTGAAAGCTCATTCCCAGTACAGCGTACTTCATCCAACATAACTGGGCCAGATCCTTCCCCAAAATATGCCTGATGCCATGCTTTGGCAATGCCACTAAACAAATATAAGAACATAAGGATTCTGGATTAGACACCAAAGGTTGGTCCTTTATTTTTTTTTCCCCCGAGTGAAAGCATAATTATTAATTCCCACTTATTAATTCACTTCATAGGTCATGCATGACTTTCTGTATTTCCTTTTTGTGTATTTGTTTGTTGCCTTTTATATTTTCATCAATTTCACATGTTTCAAAGACTGCTAGGTACTCCCCAATATTTAACCTCCTTTTCTTCATTTGTAATGGAACTTCAGATTTTTAGGACAATGGCTATCCAAAATAAAGACCACATTTTGCTTCCCCTCCTTCTTGATGACTAAGTTTGTTTGTTTGTGGAAAAGTATACATAAGATAAAATTTACCATTTTAAACGTTTTTAGTTTATAGTGATTAAGCACATTCACATAATTGTATAATATCACCACCACCCATCTCCAGAACTTTTTCATCGTCCCCAAATAAAACTTTGCTCCCAATTTGGGCACCTAAGTTTTGTTTCTGTTTTTGTTTTGTTTGAGACATAGTCTCATTCTGTTGCCCAGGCTGGAGTACAGCGGCATAATCATAGCTCACTGCAACCTTTAACTCCTAGACTTAAGCAGTCCTCTCACCACAGACTTTTGAGTTGCTAGGACTACAGGTATATGCCACCACACTTGGCTAATTTTCTTTTTATTTTTTATTTTGAAGAGATGGGGTTTCAGTGTGTTGTCCAGGTTAGTCTTGAAATCCTGGCCTCAAGCCATCTTCCTACTTCAGCCTCCAAAAGTGCTGGGATTCCAGGTGTGAACCACCTCATCCAGCCATAAGTTTTGACCAGTGATATTTAGGTACAAGTGCCATGTATTACTTGTAGGAAGTATCTTTGTTCCACCTCCTCTTCCTGACTGCAAGGATGTACAGAGCCTAGTAAGTTATCTTGGGTCATAGGGTCCCATACTAAGGATGACAGAAAGGCAAGCAAGAGAGAACCAGGTCCCTAGTGATTGTGGAACCACCAAACTACTCTTGAACTGGCTACCTCTAGTCTCTTTTCCCGAGAGTAAAATAAACTTGGCTCTAAACTTGTTTAAACTGGTGTTATTTTTAGCTCTTTGTTACTCATAGCCAAACCTATTTCTTTTTTGTTGTTGTTTTGAAAAAGGGTCTCACTCTGTTGCCCCAGCTGGAGTGCAGTGGCATGATCATGGCTTAAGGCAGCCTTGACCTCCTGGGCTCAAGTGATCCTCCCACCTCAGCCTCCTGAGTATCTGGGACTATGAGTGCATACCACCATGCCCAGTGAATTTTTAATTTTTTGTAGAGATGGGGTTTCACTATGTTGCCCAGCCTGGTTGTGAACTCCTGCACTAAAGCAAGCAATCCTCCCACCACAACCTCCCAAAATGATAGGATTACAAGTATGAGCCACCGTCTGGCAGCCAAGTCTATTTCTAACAAAAACAACTCTTTATTCAAATTTATTTGTAGTAAATTTACTTCTCCCACAATTCAAAGTGATGGTATATTCTTAGAACCCCAGATTTAAGTGAAGATCACAAACCTGTCAAAATGATTAATAATTTCAGATACTGCATTTTCAGTCCTTTTTAGGCTTTTAATTTTTAGACTATAGTACTTATATTTTTAGTTTGTTTTTCAATGACACTGCATCTATTCCCCCATTATTTTAGCTGCTCTTTTCTTATAGCATTATAACTTCAGAATTTACAACAAAAATATATTAAAGAAAAAAAGTTTGCTAAATGATTGTAATACCCCAGTAATGGTAAAGTCTTAGATATCAATTTTGTGGCTAAAAAGGAGCCTGACTAATTTTACTAGATACCATGGAAGTTTCCTTTAAATGAACACATCTAAGAAAACAAAACATCTAAAAGTTAAAACCTATTTTAGTATCATTAGAGGGCTGGACTCAGTGGCTCATGACTGTAATCCCAGCACTTTGGGAGGCCAAGGAGGGTGGACTGCTTGAGCTCAGGAATTTGAGACCAGCCTGGGCAACAGGGCAAAACCGCATCTGTACAAAAACATACAAAAATTAGCCAGGCATGGTGGCACACACTTGTGGTCCCAGCTACTTGGGAGGCTGAGGTGGGAAGGTCACTGGAGCCCAGGAGGTCAAGGCTGCAATGAGCCATAATCATGCCACTGTACTCCAGCCTGGGTGACAGAGTAAGATCCTGTCTCAAAATAACAATAATAACAACAACAACAACAGCAACATTAGAGTAAATACTTAGGGAATGTTCCATCATTGCCTGACTCACTTTCAGTTTAAAATTCAAAGGCTGTGCCAAGAGGAAGGATAAAGGAATATTACAGGAGGTATAGAGGAAGATGAGGAAAAGAAGACTGCTTAAGGAAGGTATTTTTATGGAGTTGACATTTTAAAATTTAGAATCCTGACACTTAAATCACTATCTGATGTTTGTAACACAGCGGACTCTGAGCAATCTGACCCAACAAAAATTAAAGACTAATATCTAGAACTAATAAGACAAATCTGAGGAAAACATTTGGAATTCCAACACAAATAATATTGGAGTCCTAACACAAAGGAACCCTAACACAAATGATATTGTCAAAATGACAATTTTGTGAGTGAATTTGTTTGTTTTGCTAAGGGAAATGTAACGGCAGAACAGAAAGTCATGTCTACTCTGGAAAGAAGCAATAAAAGCTCAATTAATAGGATTGTTCTATATAACGTTTACAGTTGTTTCAAAGTATGTCTATATGCCTATAGAAGAGTACGCTAATCATGTATAAATATTTGTATATTAATGACCATGTCAAAAAACTTGTATTTTCCAAGCTCAGTCTTTGAAGTGGGCAAATACATGTTGACATAGACTCTGAGGTTCCAATTTGGGCTCTATCTTCAACAAGCAGGGCTACCTTGGGGAAGTTACTAAAACCTTCCAGGCCCAGAATGCAACACCGGAAAACAGGGATGATAAGGGCTAATTTGCAGGTTTGTAGGAATTAAACAGATGCAAAGTAGGAGCTCAATAAATGCTGGTTCCCTTCCCTCTTTTAGCACTGTTAAGGAATTCCCACATATCCCCGACAGTTGATAAATAATATATCTTTCACTGGTAAGCAATTTATCTAAAGACCATTTGATATTTAGTTTAAACAAACACTATAGTTTTTACTTTCCTTCATCCCCAAAAAGTAAAGTTGGGGGAATGGTGAGGAAGAAAGGATCAATCAATATTTTAACATTTTCTGGTTTTAATGTTGTTTAATTAATTAATTTATTTATTTTAAAGTAAATTTCAAGGGAATATTTATGGAAGTAATTTATGGCCTATAGGAGACTGAACAAATGCATGTCTGTGCTATTTTGTATTACAGATTACAAGATGATGGCCCAGAAGACTATGAAGTAAGCTCTGACTTGCATCACTAAACTTCGGATTTTCCTGTGGTAGAGCTATATCTAATCAGGGGGAAACATTTTCAAATATTTTAATGCACATAAAGTATTTTATCTAAAAATTTGTTGTTCCAAAATAAAACTTTCTGTGCAATGAAAGCATTGATGTTCCTAGAAAAATATGTTTTAAGCCAAAATAATCTTGCAATAGTATTCTACAAGGCTATGAAAAAAATTCAACTGTTTTAAAGATTACTTATAGTAGAAAATGTATCCTTTCCCAAAGAAAATATGTTTATATAACATTTACAATAGCCTGGGTGCCATGGCCCACACCTGTAATCCCAGAACTTTGGGAGGCCGAGGCAGCTGGATCACCTGAGGTCAGGAGTTCGAGACCAGCTTGGCCAATGTGGTGAAACCCTGTCTCTACTAAAAATGCAAAACTTAGCTGGGCATGGTGGCATGCACCTGTAATCCTAACTACTTGAGAGGATGAGGCAGGAGAATCACTCGAACCTGGGAGGTGGAGGTCACAGTGAGTGAGACGAGATGGCACCACTGCACTCCAGCCTACCAGGGCAACACAGCGAGACTCCATCTAAAAAAAAATTACAATGCATTAAACAAGAGAAAAGCTTAACACTCACAGAAAATAAAATTCAAAGATCATTTAAAAGGTGTAATTCCCAGAATTTGAGGGTGGAAGATGAGTAACTGAAATGTATTGTTTTTAATATGTTTATGTATATACTAACATTGGCTCAAAGAAAAAAACTGCTTGGAGTTGTGTGCATGAGACCTGTGGCTCCTTTTTACAATGAAGAGAGAGGATAGGAGAGAAGAAGCCCTAGGTCACTCAAGAGGAGAGGTCAGCAAAATACGACCTGTGCACCAAATCCAGCATGCTATATTTTTATGTTCCTCATGAGCGGAGTGGTTTTTAAATTTTATAAATGTCAGGAAAAATAATCAAAACAAGAATATAATTTGTGATGTGCAAAATCAAGCGAGATCCAAATTTTACTGTCCAGAAACAAAGTTTTATTGGAACGATGCCAAACGCATTCCCAAGTTTTTGTCTACGGCTGCTTTCATGCTACAGTGGCCCCGCTGAGTAGCTGCAAAGTCTATTTACTCTCTGGCCGTTTACAGAAAAATTGTGCAGACCCCTGCTCTAGAGGAAAGAGATTAATGAAAGCAAATATGGAAACTGCCTTAGAAAACACTGAGAGTTTAAGGACAAAATGGGAGGAGACATGATGACTGATGGAGAAGCCAGATAGGAAAGCTATAGAGGAAGGCAAATTAACAGCCTTCTTGTATCTTTGCCCTGAGATAAATGCCACACACAAAAAAAAATCTGTTAAGGAAAATTTCAATGGCTATAATTCATTGAGCCAGAATTAGGTGCTATAAGGAAACCTGGGACCAATATGGAGGAATATAAAATTTGATCCCAAACTCATAACAAAAAGATGAAATCCAGATGGCTTAAATATAGGAAAGAAAAAAGAAAAGAAAGAAAGAAGGGAGGGAGAAAGAAGCAAGAGAAAGGAAGAAGAGAGAAGGAAGGAAGGAGGGAAGGAAAAAAGAAAAGAAAGAAAAGTA